CCACCGTGATACCTTCTTCTGCTGGTCACTCGTGAACTTCTTCTTTAAGTGCTCATAAAAGTGGCTGGTCTTTATTCTTGTCTCCTCCAAGTGATTTACCTTTAGGACAACAAACGTGTGATTTTCAGCACAGGATCCAGTGATGGTTCAAAAAAGCTGCAAAGTGGGGATAGCCTTTGGGGAAAGAGGTGTCCTCCAGGATCCTCCCCCACTCCCTGGGCTTTCACAGTAACAACCCTTCTCTGAACATTGGTCTGGGCAGATTGGTCAAGTGCCTCTGCCTCCTTACCGGCTTTTCTGGCTTTCACCAGGATCAACAGAGTTCTGCCCACTGAGTCCAAGAACACTCCCTGACATTCTGGAATTGACTGGATTCAGTGTTCAAAAGTTACTGCCTTGCATACAGACAGAAATGCCATTGAGTTATGTGTAGGGCCAGTATCCTTGTTTAATATCTGTATCCTTGTTCTGCTATCATAGGGACAAGAACCTGAGTAGTATAAAAGGACCCCAATCTGTGCAGTGCTGAGACGAGGTAATATCCTCTGGTATCTCTAATGTGCCCATCAACGTGTTATCTACAACCAAGTGGAGCAGAACAAGAGGGAACTGATTCCTGAAATCTTATAAACACCTGACAGCTGTGGCTATTTCCCACTCTCAGGGAGCTGGGTGGTCAGATGCTCAAAGGCACCTAACTGGAGATATCTTTGAGGAGCTGGGTCTCTGTGCTTTACGTGTCAGTCCTGCATCACAAGCACTGCTCACTCTTCCTGGATATTTTGAGCAGGCTGATCACTTCTTGTCCAGCTTGAGCCCCCTAACATCCCAGAGGATGGAGATTCCCTATGGTCTTAATGTTCCATATAGGACTAACTCCCAGACAGACCATGCCAATCAGAAAACACCCATATCTTAAGATCATGAGGGAGAATCAGCACTCTACTGGAGCCTTCATGAAAAGCCGATGGCTTCCTTATTCAAAACGCTCTCTCTCCCTCTAGCTTCCCACTCCCCTGAGGAGAGCCCTTGGATAGAGATCCTGCAAGGTTTGCCCTCATCCATATAAAGCACTGAATCACATGACTAATGTCAATGAAGACAATGACACTACCTGCGCACTTACAGTTAAGCATGTGCTCCAGTGCTTTGTTGGATCGGGACCAGAGTGCTCAGCACTTATAGGACACATCATGAATAAGATGGTCCTCAGATCCTGCCTCATCCATAATCAGAGGTGGCCTCCCAATGTCTTCTGCTGCAGAGAAGGTAGAAGGGACTCCATTGAGAAGTCATAGAATTATAGAATCATAGATTAGGATTGGAAGAGACCTCAGGAGGTCATCTAGTCCAACCCCCTGCTCGAAGCAGGACCAACCCCAACTAAATCATCTCAGCCAGGGCTTTGTCAAGCCGGGCCTTAAAAACCTCTAAGGATGGAGATTCCACAGTCTCCCTAGGTAACCCATTCCAGTGCTTCACCACCTTCCTAGTGAAATAGTTTTTCCTAATATCCAACCTAGACCTCCCTAGACCTTTCCCCAGACATGACCATTAGGGCTCACTGGTGCAGCAAACAAACCCTCCTTTTACACTAGGAATTGAATGTTGCCTCCATAGTGTTCCCAACCTTCACAGCAAGACAACTGGATTCAAGCCTTGAAACCAGACCTTCTTTCTCACTATGGCCCCTGGGCCAGCAGCCATTTCAGCTCATTTCTAAATGAAGTCAACAATGCTTTTATTCTGGGGACGAGATTGCTCAGGGCCTTGGAGCAGGGCTACAGAGCCCTTCACCTCTAGCTCAGAGAGAGGAATTCAGTGTGCTGGGGGTAGGGTCCTGGCTTGCTCTAGTCATTGTGCTCGGGGTCTCTCCAAATGACAGAAAAAGGGTGTTAGCGTTACCTTGATCTCCTGAATTCGCTGGACACTGGTGTTGTCACGGATGATGACTGTGGATAAGTGACTCTTTGGCAAAAACCTTTTCACAGCCACTTCACTGCCATTGAACAGACTGAGGGGGGAAAGGGGCCTTGTTATAGTTTCCCCGCTCAGGAGAAGCAATGCCATTGCTTGCTCAGCTCTACTGTTCACAGCCCTGCAAGACACCAGGGAGTCACCCTGCCTCACTCAAGAGTTCACGTTCTTTGCTGATGTTACATGGCTCAAAGACATGTATTTTAGGTTTCAGATAGTATCAGGGGGTAGCTGTGTTTAGTCTGTATCTACAAAAACAACAAGGAGTCTGGTGGCACCTTAAAGACTAACAGATTTATTTGGGCATAAGCTTTCATGGGTAAAAA